AGCAGAAGCAAGTACCAGTAACCTGTGTGGGAATTACTGAGTCTTGCGGCTGATTCACCAGCTGATGTTTGTTGGTAGATGGAGAAGGGGGTAGTGAGGGAAAGAGGAAGTAGGAGCAGCAAGTCTTGCCTGAAAAAATATGGCTATATTCCCTCTTATGTGAAGGTATTTGTTATATTCCTTGTGAAACACTAAACTCGCATGGGGGAAATGAAAGGCTAAGAGTAGCTCCACTTCCTTGGATCGAGTGTAGTAGGATCGTTAAGACAAGTTTGTTCTCCCGGTAGAATACCGGGTGAGGGGCTCTTGATCCCAGGAATTTAATTTGCTCGCCTTCTAAATTATTTAAGACAGTAGCCTGATTGGTAAGGGATCGAGCCACGCTCAGAGGACGGAGGGTCGAGTCTCTAGCAGTCCCTCTGCTGAATGACGCACACGGGTTTAGTGCTTCACCTTAAGTATTATGCCTGTCAGATATAAGAACGAAGGAGCACTATAGTTGCCTGCCCATGTTAGGTAGGTCCAAAAAAAATATAGGTAGCCTTATTTTTCTTGAGTTTTAAGACCAATTTCGCTCCTTTCTAGAGGGATATCTTCGTCTGGTAAAAGGTTTTTCATTCAGGGAGATGGAATTAACCTCCCCTTTCACGGATCAAGCATAATTACCTCCCATTCTTCAGGCGCTGTGTGACCTACAGATTTAGTGGTTCGTCATTTTAATGTTAATATTTACTTATGGTAGTTGCCCACTTGTAAGTGACTTGTTAAAGATATTTTGCCGCTGCTTCTAGAACTCAGGGTGACGCATCATTCTTAGATGAGAGTCGGGCAACGCATCAGTTTGTGGAACTTCAGTTGTGAATGCAATTGAAGTATAAGATTAAGGGGAAAGACTAGACCCAGCTGTTTCCCAAACACAACATTTAGCATTCGTGACGTGTTCAACGTCGTTGTGTTGAAATCAACCTCGCATCGACGACCCCAGAAGAAAAATCAAAACAGGCCACCATCGCTGCTGCTGCTCGTCCTCCCACCTAACAATCCCAGTCACTATTATTAAATAAGATGGTTTACTCTCTATTTGGTTTAACATTGTGACTCCTTTTCTAACCGGCAGGCTCTAGTCTGGTTGATCAGGCCCTGAACCATCGCGAGACCTGGGCCGTTGGCCCTCAAAACACCCGCCAGATAGGCGTAGCTTTGTAATGATTAGATGTAGATCAAGGCACACTGCAAGTCTATATTTTTTATAAACTGTAATATTAAGTTTAGTTCTTGGGGTTATGGTAATACTTGACCAGTCACATGACACTCTTAACCCATGTTTGGATTTTCTACTTGACGGTTTCCAAACCTACAAGTTGAAGAATGAGACACTTGTGCAACATTTTAGACTTTGGGGGGCCCTCAGCATGGAAATTAAATTGAATTACAACTAAATGAACGATAAACAGCAGTTTAAGAAAAAAAAAATAGGTTTCGAAGAAGACGTCTGATTTTATTGACTAAGAATAACCGACTATAATTTTCAATTTGTAATATATTCCATCTACACTAAATAATAATTAACGATGTGTATTCATTTATATCTTAAGTGTGACGCTTTCGGCATCTATCTATATGGTAGCAGTTAACCAAAAGGACACTTGCTTTTCTCTGACAGGGAACCACATGACTGGGTTTCACTATCCATGTCTACAGAAATATCTGTAGACTGTGTTTGTGGTGATTCGTCACGTTTACTATCTTGATTTGATATTTCCTTTGAATGTACTTGGGAATGCGAATATTTTAATAATTTTTCTTTCTATAAAATGTTGAAGGAAACATTGTTAATACATAATAAGACTTCAAATTATTACTTACTGTAGTTCATGAATAATCTAGTAATGTCCATACTTTTATCTTTGCAGACATTGTTTTGGGTTGTTGCTGCTGCTGATGATGACGTAGCTGCCCACAACATGGGGAATATCTTCAACCTACACCCCCTCCCTTCCTTCAAGGGGGGTAATTGGATCTGTGCTCCGATTCCCTGAATACCTCCCCCCAACATGCGCTGTATAATCCTACCGGTCCCCATGGTTGTAATAATTTACCCGAGATCATTAATTAAATATAACAAATAAATTGTCTTTCTTTATCACAGCAAAGAAATGTTCAAGGAACACAAAAGAAAATAGTTGACATGCCTCAACTGCTGTATGACAACATTCACACAATTCGGGAGCTTTAAGCTCGTGGGAAAAAAAAAAATATACCTACTCCAACCCTACTAACAATTGTAATAATGAGGCGGATAGCCTCGGTACTGCAATTATTAATAGTTTGAGGTATAATAATTTTAAATTTCATGGCCTTGTGTTTGTATTGTCAAGAAACTAATTTATGCAAGACTGGGCAGTCATGTACAACACTATCTTCGCTGCAAGCATAACAGTCGTCTTCTAACACAGGTTATTGATTGTCACATAATCCTCCTGACATTCACCTAAATAAAATTTCCCATAACTAGATATAGATATTATCCACATTTTGGTGAAGGTTTGATCCAAGGTACTAGCATCAAGATATTTTCCCTAGTACAAAGATGCCCCTTGAAGGGCATCCGCATTTAACATGAAGATAGATAGAGGTGCAGCAGTCGTAGGTGGTGTCACATTTGTCCAATCTGACACCACCTACGACTGCTGCGCCTCTCCTGCCATACGATTTATAAGCTGCTTCTCCGCTCATATGCCGTATTCTATTCAAGATTAATGGACTGACCACATCGTCTCAAGGTTGAGGGACTGATTACCTCGTTCTTCAAGTTTATCCTTTGTATGGACTAATGAAGCCACTGTGTGGCGAAACATTTCCTCAATAAAGATACCCAAGAGTTGCACATGTGTCTAATTTAACAACATGTCGGTTCTCTGAACCATTCATCTACAACACAATATTATATTTCCTCCACAGTTCCACGTCCCTCATAACACTAGGCTAACAACCAACCAGTTGGAGCTGTGCCGTATACCAGTGTCCTAACACACACTACTATGCTAGCCTGAATTCATAACCTTCAAGTTATGGCTGGCATCCTAAGCACAACTACATTTAAGCCCCCACACCTTTATTTTTCTAACCCAATAGGATTAATCTATTCTCACTAATACCAATCTAAATCACCCCCCTAACTATACTCATCAACATCAGATGTTAGTGAATCCTTTCTACCAACTAATACTTCACTTCAGATTAGAGATTTTCTTTATTAACTTCTACTACCAGAAGCGTTAGACTTCACTACTTGTAAACTATCAAACGAACTTCAATTCTGAATGCTAATACTTTTATATTCATAGGAACCTGAACGCCGCTTAAATTTTCCAAAATAATGAAATTATGTAAACTCAATCAATATTTAACTTTGCACAGTTAGGCATAAAATACGTAGAACACCTACCAACATCCCCACTATTCTGTCTTCAGAGGGAAATTACGCTTCCCTGCTATATGCATATAGCAGATTCTCTAATTCTATACATTTTGATAATAGAATCGAAATAATTATAGACCTAGAAATTTTTGTATATATATATATATATATACATACTACACAGCATACTCCAGGTAGTGGCAGTGCAGGGAGATGAAGGTAGGGTCTAGATAAGATTCTTTTCTAAAGGATATTTATATCACTCGTTGCAGCAGGGGAGCAATGATAAGGCTTCGGAGGCTTCTTACTTTATTTGCAAAATTGTGGGTACACAGGCAATATGTTAGGGGCCATGCCTGCGAGGGAGAGATGAGTAGGTCTTGTTGGCTCTAGGATTCCTGGTCGTGAAGTGAGTGATGTTTCTGAACTGGGTATGGACCTATAGGTGGCAGCACGAGTATGGCACAAAATATAAACTCAGCTGGCAAATAGCATAGGCTGTCTACATTTGCTCAGCCACCACCATGTTCGTCCTCGACCATGACTGGCTTTAAAAAAAATCTCTCTCTCTCGCAGGAATAGGGCACAAAATAAATATATATATGTGGACATAGAGAAAAAAAAAAAAGATGGGTGTGCTAAAAAACATCGTTGTCCAAGGCAGTGGGCATCACTGCCTGCCTTCTTGCATCTGGACAGATACTGCAACACAGGAGACATCACTGTAAAGTAACAGGGTACAGACTCCTCCAGAACAGTGAAGCAGTTATCGTAGTAGTTGCTGCAGGATTCACTCATCCTGGGGCATAACCTGCTGGTGCCCTCGAGTGAGGCGTCGTCAATACTGAGCAGGACTTCTGGCAAGTGACTCAGGAGGCCATTTCTCGACTGGTACTGTTGCTGCGGCTGTCACTGCCAGCGAGATTGGAGTCATGGCAGGGGTGACTCGGGCACAACACCTGGGAGTCATAACAAACAATACTGGAGTGAGCGGGCTAGCAGTCAAAGTGACATCGTTGTACAGGCTGTGACACGAGGCCAACAGTCGCAACTGCGGCTTGACGAATGTCATTCTCTCGACAGTTGGAGTTATAGCAGAGGTTAGTCTAAGCATCCTCAGACTGGTTCTCTTCATATAACTGCACTCGGAAGGTCAGGTGAAGTGAAATGAGTCTTGATGGGAATCATAACAGGTACAACTCAGTAGGGCATTTATGAGTGGCAAACAGAGCTTTCTGTACAAGGGGCTCAGATTCTCGTAACTGACGCCCAGACTGACTAATGTCAGGCCTGGTGGCTAAAGCTCCCGCTTCACACACGGAGGGCCCGGGTTCGATTCCCGGCGGGTGGAAACATTCGACACGTTTCCTTTCACCTGTTGTCCTGTTCACCTAGCAGCAAATAGGTACCTGGGTGTTAGTCGACTGGTGTGGGTCGCATCCTGGGGGACAAGATTAAGGACCCCAATGGAAATAAGTTAGACAGTCCTCGATGACGCACTGACTTTCTTGGGTTATCCTGGGTGGCTAACCCTCCGGGGTTAAAAATCCGAACGAAATCTTATCTTATCTTATCACACTGGGTGACAAGTAACACGATATGCTACACAGTGCTGTGGCCTACACACACAGCTGGCCACAAACCACTTAATCAGGGAGACACACCTGCACTACACACGAGGTACAACATGGCTTGAGCAAATGACGCTTTTCTGTGCAAAAATCGACACTAAGCCATACACGAAAACGTGAGAACACAGAGGAATTAACACATGACAAGTATTGTCTCTCAATCTTTTCGGCAATACTGAAATAATTTGCTCACTGTGAAACTATAACACTCCATGTGACGTGATGTCAGGCAGCATGGTGACGTCATGAGGGATGTCATCGCGAGATGACGTCAGGGGAGGCATGTGGCTTGGGTAACCCGCGTGACTTCGTCCACACCCCACATGGCTTCGTGATCCACGTGACCTCAGGCACTCGGATACACAGCTCTGGCAAAGAATTCAGAGAAACATCAGAGAGGGAGTGAGAGCAAGGTGGTGTCATGGCAAAGCCAGGACTGCAAGGGGGGGGTCTAGGTAAGATCAAGGGGGGTCTACAAAGTCTGTAAATATATACTGTATAACCCAATTTTAAAACAAATGCTCCCCCTCACAAGACGCTCTAATACAGACTGGAGTCATAAGCGCTAAACCCACAAGGCTATACTACTGAACATATTCTTGGGACTTCAAAGCATAAAATCACTTGGCCAAGTCTTCTACAACACTAATGAAATAGGAAATGTGGTTAATTCCACATTTCTGAGTAACTGCTACTAATTTTTCCGGCTATAATATATCCTGCCTAAGGAAAATTTATCCCGTCATGTGAAGCTAAAACTTTGGCTGTGTAGTTTTAAAAATAGGTTAAATGAGTGGTTGAGAGTTGGACCTGCCTAACATGGGCCAATAGGCCTGTTTCAGTGCTCTTTACTTATGTCTTAATAATGGGTATGCCTAATTTAATAGGCTTTCCTTACACCCGGCATCACAACCTCTGCCATTACCCTCACCACACTAAACTATATCAGTATAATTTTTAACCCGGTAGAGTAACACAGAATTACACAATAACGTCAGGATGACATCTGTGACATATTTATTAGGGTACTTATATTCCCCCAGGATGCGACCCCTACCAGTTGGTCTGCTGCAGCGCTCCTCCTTATGTGAACAGTGCTAATGGACATAAGGGAACATGCCCACTTGTGTCCTAGATAGAATCTCGGTTCTTCAGTTAACGACACTACCAACTTAGCCATGATACATCACTTACACATATCATCTCTGCTTCCTACAATCTTGTAGGATGGATATAGACTGCTAATAAAGGTATTATTCTAACTAAAACTTCCTAAAACATAATCAGTCTTAAATTCTAAGCTTTACAAACCCATTTCTCCAATTTTTATCTCCACCCCATTCAAGGTAACCTTTAGAATAAATTCCTCATTATTTCCTGGCCAGAGATTTCATATTCGGTCGTGGGATTAGCTAATACTTCCCACTAAGCTACTTTTGATATCAGTTGCTTACAATCTTTTCTATACTCTCCCCACCACCCTTCCACCTAATACAATTACTGTCTGCTTCAGTAACCAAACTTTAGTGGACTTATAACCTGGAAACACCTTACAAGTGGGCCCTGCCCACCTCTAACGACGTCTCCAACTGCTTCATCTCCATATAACACTAAATGTTATGGGTCAGATCATTTACTAGTGTGGTTGTCTCCACCCCTCAGACTGGTCAATGTTGCTGTGTTGATCAATGTTGCAGCAGACACAGCCAGGCACAGCACTCCTCAGACTGGTCAAAGTTGCTGTGTTGATCAATGTTGCACCAGACACAGCCAGGCACAGCACTCCTCAGACTGGTCAAAGTTGCAGTGTTGATCAATGTTGCACCAGACACAGCACTCCTCAGTTACCACACCTGAAACAAAACACATTCGCATTATAACCATGAACATTACACACATTGGTAAACATTACCATGTAACATTACTGCCTGACTGATATATCCATTAATGTTGAACATATTTATTAAAGAAAAAGACAGCTTACTTACTATTTCTTTCACATAAACCTGATGACTAACAATTTGTTTACATGGCTCACAAGATGCAAGTTCCTTGGATCAAGAGACCTTCACTATTTTTCAATAATGGAAACAAAATAGCCCAGAGCTGGATACACAATTATGAGTTATGTAACGCCTAGTGTGAGAATTATTGTTAGATCAGAGGAAGGGGAGCAGCTCCAGTTCCTCGCATCAAAACCCCTCCACTAAGGTCAATCACCCCTTTCCCCCCCTCTAAGACATTATGCCCCCCAAAGAAAATTAAGACAAAATATTAGTAAATTGGTGGCCAAACTGGTGGTGGGGACCAGGAGCTGCAGCTCAAGTCTGCCGTTGTACTGACAAATACGTCACCAGATAATACTTATGTTATTTCGGTGTATTAAAAGGATGAGTAAGCGGTAGAGCCGGCGGGGCGGCAGGAGGAGGATCAACATGTCTCCTCTGTACGATCATTAAAGGGTAACTGACCTTTAGTGACCTTGAGGTTGGTCACTGACCTGACCTTCACTATAACACCATCACAGATAACCTGACTGACTCTGATTACCACCGCTAGATGATCCATATGTTGTCCTTAGGGAACTCATGACTAATGAATCGTTGAGTGCATTTGCTGTTCGATTAGATAAACTTCTATCATTTATAAATGCAGTCCAGTCCTCAGCCTTTGTCCCTGATGAGGAAAAAAAAACTTCACAGTGTCGTTTGCTAAAATAGCAGCTTTTGGGGCAATCAAAGATCTCATGGTAGACAACCATCGCAGCGATCGCCTAAGACCAGTGTACTTGTATACCCTCGTAGTATTCGTAGTGCATTCAGTAACCATAGTCAGCAGACTTGTTACAACTGTGGTTACCGTGGCCATATTGCAGTTAATTTTCCTGATAGTCACAATAAGAGGTGTCGTACTGATGAGTACCAGTCAGATCTGCCGTACTGTACTTATCATAGAATACATGGACATTACATCTGAGTGCAATGCTCTCTATAACCTTCAGTACTCTCGATCTTTCCGTGGCCGTTCCACCCACAGAACCAGGAGAGGAAACAGAGGTCGTGGTTCTCAGACTAACCAGAACCAGGCTCATTCTTCCAATTCGGGGGAATTCCAGCACCCCAGTAAACTACCCCATGGTTACAGTAGGTGATAATGAGTACACTATCCCCATTCACAATTCCTTTGATGCCTTAAGCAGTCTCGAGAACGACAATCTCGCTGTTGTTGCTTCACACGTCTCTGACGTAGATGATTTTAGGGATGAAGTGAAATAAACCTTTTCTGATGAAAACCCTCCTTTTTTTGTGCATAACTTCCATTGCAACGATTGCTCCCATAGTACAAGCATCTGTTTTTAATTCGACCGTTCATGTGTTCATGGACTCTGGTGCACAAGTCATTATCAGTCAGAATTAGGTCTTCCTGTAGAAGGAATCTAATCACACCAGACCACAATTGATCTGGTCTTTGAGCATTCTTTACATCCACGGCACTAAACAGAGGATCTGCAGTTACTACGCTAACATGTCATGATAAGGCATCTGTGACCACATTTGATCTGCCAGGTAAGTGTTCAAGGGTAGAACTGAACTTGGATAGTCAAGGAACATCTGGCTAACCTTCCAGTAAGTTGTTTATTCTGGAATAAAGGTATCAGTGGAGCATGGTCTGTCAAGACATGAACAGAGTACTGATAAATAATGTCTCGGAAGTGCTTTAAAGACCAAACTATCGCTAAGGCTTCTTAATCGGTTACTGTATAATTATGTTCAGCCTTTGTAAGGACACAACTAGCAAATGCAACTGCATTGTACTTGCTATCAGTCTTCTTGAGCTAGGATGGCACCTATGTCAACTGCACTAGCATCAATGGTTAGGTAGAAAGGCTTGGAAAAATCTGGGAATTTCAGAATTGGGGCAGATGTTAGCTTTTCTTTAAAAGTTTGGAATGCTCTTTCCTGGCTGAAGGTCCAAATGAAAGGAGCATCTTTCTTAAGCAACTCAAGAGGAGCTGCTATAGAAGAAAAAATAGCAATGATCTATAGAAACCTGCTAGGCCTAGAAAGGATCTTACGGAGTCAGCAGTTTTGGGAGACAGAAAATTTAATATTGCGGTTAATTTACTTTTATCCGTCATAACCCCTCTACGAGTGACTATGAGACCAAGAAATTTAATGTCTGATCTGAAAAGCTGACATTTTGATCTTTAAACTGGCTTCTTCGACCTTACCAAGTACCATATCAAGTCTTTTTAAGTGCATATCCACGTTTTCGGACATAACAATTGCATCATCTAAGTGTGCCATAAGTACATTACCTATTTGGTCTTTAAAGATATTAGTTATGAGCCTAAAGAAAGTGATAGGTGATGAGGACAAACTGAAGGCCATTCTGAGGAAATGATAATGACCTGTAGAAGTGGAAAATGCAGTTAGCTCTTTGGCAAGTCCTTCTCCTCATGGAGAAGGATTTGCCAAAACCCTTGTAACAAATCCAGGGTCGAAAAGACTATTATCGCTGATATTATGTAAGAGATCACCAAGTACAGGAAGTGGGAAACGATCTGAAATAGTTTTAACGTTTAACTTCCTAAAGTCAATCACTAGAAGCCAAGTACTGTCATCCTCAGATACTAGGTCTAGTACCAGGTTCAAATGGGATATGATGGGACAATAGGGTCGTTATACCCATCTTCTCACCTGGTAAGGCAATGGCTTTATTATGCTTAACAGATTCAACAAATGCTGGACCTCATCTGGGAAGTCAGTGAGAGCTAAGTCTCTACTGGTGGAGTGAGTTTATCCAGTAGAATGGATTGATCCAGTGGTGTGGATAGGCTCTCCCTGGTTGAAATAGCACCCACCCACTGGTCATGTGACAACTCGTCTTCTGCACACACAAGGTAAGGTTAGTGAACAAGGTCAACAAACTGGTATTCGCTCTCAGGTAAACACTGTGACCAGAAGTGTTAGCAAGGAAGAAATGGATCTTATCTCTTACAACATGCACTGATGGCTCAACAAACCTTTTACCTTACATAATCACTGTCAACTAGGACGTAATCACCATCTGGAACACATGGGACAACAACACGTGCACTAGCTGTGACAGACATCTTTCTGCAGATGACCTGTGACATCAACAAGAGATGGCATTACTAGTTTCAAGTAATTGTTTTCCGACAAGGCATCCCTTATGGAGGAACTACCACTTGAACTCATAATCATTGCAGAGATAGGCTCAGCACTCAAGGTTGTCTGGGTACCTCCGACTCCCATAGTAAATGAACACTATCTTGCATGCCTGAAGTTGCAGGTGGAACACAGAAGTGACAGGATTACCAGTGTCTGATCGCTTGGCTATGCTACTAGAAAATGCACTGCCCTGCAAGGACTAAATAAAAACTTCATACTCTGCAGCAGCATGGCAGATCTCTGATCCAAGCTGTTATCCCCAAAATGGTATGATCAAGTCTTCAATTTGGACATGCCATCTGTAAGGGTCAAGCTCGGTTCTCAAGTGTTTCATATATGCAAATCCCAGTAGAAAATCACCAGGGAAGGAAAAGGTGAGGGACGTCTTTCCTCGGACACAGAGGCTAGAGCCAGACACACCACTAAAGGAGGATACACGAGTTCGTTCTGCTAGAAGGACATGATGCAATTGCTTTTCCTTGAACAAACTAGACCTGACAATGTTTACTTCCACACCAGTCTATGAACTTATGAATGGGTGTGGTTAGAACAGATGCTTGTACTAAGGGACCTATTGTTGCATTGGAATGAATATGCAAACAAGGAGGGTGGTCATCAGAGAAGGTATCTTCCACTTCATCCCCAAAATTATCTTCATCGACAACATTTGAAGCAACATCATCAACGAGATTCTTCCTCGAGACCACATAGGGCACAGAAGGAATTTTGAACAGGGATGGAGTACTCATTATCACTTACCATCACCACAGGATGGTTTGACTGGGGCGCTCGGATTCCCCTGAATTTGAAGAACGAGATTGGTTCTGGTTATTCTGAGAACCCTGACTTCTAGTTCTTCTCCTGGTTCTGTGGTAGTAATGACTATTAAAGGGTCTAGAGCATCTACTATTATAGAGAGCATTGCACTCGGACGTATTATGTCGATATATTCTGTGATAAGTACAGTACGGCAGGTCTGACTGGAAGTCTTCATCAGTACGATGATTCTTAGGTTGACTATCTGGACAATTAACTGCAATATGACCTCGGTAACCACAGTTATAACACGTTCTCTTGCTATTGTTCCTTAATTCACTGGGAGCACTATGAGGATAACTCGTTACACTAGCCTTGGGCGACTGATGTGATTGGTTTCTATCAGAACTTTTTGCTGTTACACAAACAAGGGGTGGTGCTGGATGATTCATAGTAGACAATGTAGGTTTGATGCATGGAAAAGTACCTTGGGGACACAAGGCACATATGTGAATAAGGGCTGCAAGCAGTTCCATGTTTACAGTTGGAGGGTTGGGGGTATAAGCACACAAGGAAGCAGGAGGCATTAACTTCTTGATGGCTCCAAAAGCTGCCAATATAGCGGTGGATCTTTTATCCTCGTCAGGTATAAAATCTGAAGATTGTACTGCTTTAACGAATAATGGCAAAAGTTTATCTAATCGAATTGCAAAGTGACCCAATCATTCATCTGGCATAGGTGTTGCACTCACTAGTTCCCTAAGGACAATATAGGATCACACACACTCACTGGTACAAGAAAAGAACGAAGCAAATTCTCGTACTCTGATCACGGAGCAAGATTCTCCAAGTCACTCATTTGGAGAAGGTTAGTGACATTCACAGCAGCTGGTGATCGAACA